CCTTCCACCTTCTCTAAAAATCAATGGAAAAATATCCTTGAGTGAGAATAAACAAAAAAACAACTAAATTAACTCACTTCAATGGTCATCTTTACTTTTGAGATTATGTACTGCCCAATGTTTTAATCTTTAAATAGCTCCCACTTTTTTCTTTATTAATAAAATAATGGTTAAGAGTAGATAATTTTATTAGTTTATGTATTAAGATTTTGTGGGGGGCAAAATTAAACACAGTGCCTATGCCTGTCCTCCAACCTAAAAATGAAAAATTGAGCCCGGCCGGCATGACTCAGTGGTTGAGCACTGACCCATGAACCAGGAGATTGTGGTTAGATTCCCAGTCATGGCACATGCCCGGGTTGTGGGCTCGATACTGGGTAGGGGGCGTGCAGGAGGCAGCCAATCAATGCCTCTCTCTCTCACTGATGTTTCTATCTATTTCTCCCTCTCCCTTCCTCTCTGAAATGAATCTTAAAAAAAGAAAGAAAAGAAAAATTGATTAGTTCATGAAATCCAAATATTTGGCGATCAATGAGCTAGGTGATTTCAGACTAAAAAGTGGCTCTCAAGAAATCTCAGGAGCTTTTAAGTTTAAAGACAATTACATAACTCTAATATTTTCCTACAACACAAACACGTCATTTGAGAAAATAAGCACAAATCATTAGGAATATCTCAACTATAGATATCTCAACTAAGGTATTATATGAACACAAATCACTCAGAATTTAATAGCAGTGATAACACAGAAAGATCACAATACTCATGTGCAAGGTGGTGGATAGGACAGAAACAGTGTAAAACAGTAAAGCATCATGAGCTTTGGCATAAGAAGAAACTGAACTTTTTAATTTTTTTATTTATTGATGAGAGAGAGAGAACTAAACACCAATTTGTTGTTCCTCTTATTTATGCTTTCATTGGTTGATTCTTGTATGCACCCTGACCGGGGATTGAACCTGCAGCCTTGGCGTACTGGAACGACACTCTAACCAGCTGAGCCATGAGAAGAAACTGAATTTAAATTCCATACTCACATTCATACCAGCTCTAAGACCTTCAGCATGTCTGTTAATCATAGATTCCTCATCTAAAAAATAGGAATGATAATATCTACACCTCACAGTGATTATTAAAACCAATGAAAATTAAATACCATAAGCATTTGGTATATAGATTGGGCACCTAAAAAACAGAAATTATGATGATGATGATCACATGTAGTAACATTCTTAAAAGGCACACTTTGTCAGGTCTTCCCAAAAGTACAGTTTTGAAAACACACCTTGCGTGTGGATATGTCAAAAACATAATGGCAATACACTGCTGTCAGTAATGTACTCTCTGCAAGAGATGCATGTGGAAAAACTAGAAGCCATCTATGCACGTGTGTTTTCTAAAAATAAGCATGTCACATTCTCAGGAGAGTTAGAAATCTATCAATACTAGTGCTAGACCTTTCAGCAGACCATCCTACTCTGCCTTTCAAGGTGCTGATGAGCCCTGCTCTAAATTCTCAAAGCACAAGGACTCTCAAGTAAGTTAATGGGAAGTCAATGGGAAATTGACTTTTCCTACTCTCTGCAGCTCTGAATGCAACGCTCTGTTAATCATGCCATTCTTCTTGTTCTCTTTCCTCCTACCCTAAATTAAAACTATTGTCGGAAACCCATACAGATATTTTACAGTTTTCATTACAATGAAACAATACCTTGGGTTGAAGCTGAAGTCTATCAAAAACCTACAACCTAACTGTTAGCTAAGATTAGAGTCTCACTGAAAAGCAAGGGCGCTGATTCTATCATTTCCATCATAATACCACTTTGCATTTGTATGGAACTTTTAAGTTTCAAAGAGCTTTCCCCGGCTATTCCCCCATTTCATCATTACAATGATCCTGTGCCAGAGAAAGGACACGTATTATCCACAATTGACAGATGAGGCAACTATAGCACAGAAAGGTTAAGTGATTTGCCTAAGGACAGGAAGCCAGAAGAGAGCAGTGGTCTCCTGGCTTCCAGTCCAATGCTCTTTCCACCAGGCCACTAGAGAAGGTTTTATAAACACATGACAAACTCAGATAAAATAAAATAAAACAAGTAAGAGGAAATAAAACAAAATACAAGGAAAGCGCAAATCGGGGCTCAGGGAAACTATGTTTCTTCATCATAGTTGAATTTTTCAAGCTTAGTATTAAAGGTCTAGAAATGTAGTCTTTTCTCTTGTTTATTTACTTCAGTCCTGTGACAAACATTAATGCAAATTTTCACTGAAATCTAAAACACAAAAGTCATTTCAGGATATATTCAAATCAGTTTGATTCAGTAAGTAACCCTGCAGTAGTTCATCTTGGGATGGGTGTATGGGGGTGTATAAAATAATGAAGAACACATCTTTAAATTGTGTATATGTATTAAGCTTGCAGCTACATTATAACTACGGTCTGTTTGGAAGGGTGAAAGAGATCTCCAGTTGAAAGTAGATTTTGAAAAATTTTTTAGAGCCCAGGGGTTCATTTTTAATGAGCCGTTACTTTAAGTACTGCATAAAAAATACAGGAAATTGATAGTCCATTTAGTCTGCACCATACCTAATGCAAAAGTCATTAAGATGCATTATTCTTAATGTTCATGATATGATCAGTAAGTGTCTTTTGGAAAGATTGCCCTTAACTTTCACATAAGGAAATCTCTGAAAACCTTATATACTATATAGAAAAATGTTATGGCAACTGTGATTTACTTTTATATCTTCACTCTGCCAAAAAACAGCATCCTCGATTATAGCAACATTTTGAAGACAGTCCTCATTTGTAATATACTTACATATGACAGCATTGCCTTCATTTCTTCATCACTTCTCACTGTAATTCGATCACCATCTTCATCTTCATCTGTTTAAAAAGCAACATAATGCAAGTGATAAGATTTGCGTTTTTTAATGTACAAAAACCATGTCAGCTGGAAACAATTACAATTGGTTTTTAGAAACTGATATCCAAATTCTCAAAACTCTATTTTGGGGGATGTTGAGGTTTGTTGTTTTGTTTTTTGTTCAGAATACAGCCAGAATCTCCATAAAGAACTAAAAAATTTAGGGACAGCTGAAAATTAAAATATTGCTCATTCCCTGTGCCAGAGAAAGGACACATATTATTATCCACAATTGACAGATGAGGCAACTATAGCACAGAAAGGTTAAGTGATTTGCCTAAGGACAGGAAGCCAGAAGAGAGCAGTGGTCTCCTGGCTTCCAGTCCAATGCTCTTTCCACCAGGCCACTAGAGAAGGTTTTTGTGACATGTAATTAGGAGTATGACTAAAACAGGTCTGGTTTGGAGAACTTTAAAAACTAAAGACAGTCTAGTCCTGTTCTACTATCAGTACTTTTTATCTTTGCCACACAGCACCCTATCCCTCTATTTCTCCATTCTTCCTCTCTTCTAGGAAGCCATCATGTCACAATAGCATGATAAAAATGCCTAACACTTATTGAACATCATCATACACAAGGCATCACTATTTGTGCTTCATATGCAGCAAGTACCTCCTAAAAAACCCATAATGATCTTATAATGTGGATAGTACGACTTTATTATTATTATTACTATTCCCTTTGTACACAAGAAAAACTGGGAGCCTAGCTGAAGGTTAACTTACAAAGCAACTCTAACACAATTCTCTCCATATCCTACCCTGTCTAGCTCTCTTTCTCTTTCTGAACAGTTTCATTTGTATTGGGAACTCTCTGACCAGTTTCACATGGCAATTCACAGTATTTTGAAATAATCTTGAAACTAGAGATTAATAAGGCTTTACAAAATACACAACCAGAATGTATACATTTGACTAACTGTATCATAAGAGTAGCCACATCCAGAAACAACTATGGGTCCCTTATTCAAAATAGTTTTGAAGTAACTCTTCACAAATTGCTTTAAGAACTAGAATATAGACCGCGTGAAAATATCAGATCTAATTTTTAACCCAAATGAAACTGTGCCCCTGACCACTCACCTACACTACCTGCCAAGAAGAACTCAGAATGACTTTTGGCTATTTCTAAATATCTAGTTAGCTACTCCATCTTTCTAAAGATAAAGATCTGTCAACAAGAGAACAGTCTATGTGGCAGACTCTAACTGGAAGCTGAAAGAAAAATGCTAAAAACATTTTAGCAACAGCAACATTGCTGGAAAAAGTACACAGCCTCCCAGGGGACAACTTGGAAGGGGCTGCTCTCATTTGGAGTCTCAGCTCTGGTTCGTTTATTAAACAATCAGTGGTGTTATTTATTTATTTTGGTCATTCTTGGGTATCTAATTGCTGATTTGATCAGATGCAGAGAAACGGATCCCAGGCCTGGAGAAACAGACGAATCCCTTGTAGGCTTACATAGCATGCTCTGGGGATTCTTACTGAAAATAGTGTGAGTTCAGTTCAGCACAAGGATCTTTGCCCACAAGCCCCTCTGAAGATATCCCCCTGTCCACTGACCAGGCTCTGAGAACCCTATGAGGGGACGTGTGTTGTCTCCCAATTAGTCTATTTCAGAGCAAAATGCTACTTCCTTTTTCTCCTCAGTAGCCAGTAGCAATCTGACATCATGATGGAAACCAGCACTTGAGCCAGCCCTGCTCAATGATCAAGCCCACAGCTCTTGCTGGGTGTTTCTCTCCAAAGCATCTGTTCCTGGGTCCTGGTTCACCCCCAAAGAGTTCCCCAACTCAATATAAATCAGTATCATCAAGTCACACTAAATATCTACATAGCTAGGTAATGTCTAAAATCACTATTGGCATTATGTTATCAAGAGCTGCCTGTTTTCAGTATAAAAGGCACACAATGGTCACTTTCAGTAACAAAGGTGGCACATTCCTAGGAATGTTACATATATAATCTAACTTTCTGTCTTTTTTTTTCCTGTTCTTTATATTTCTTTATTTTTTTTTAAAGTTACAGAATCTATAGAGCCAAACTGACAGAGAAATGCCATTCTAGTTTTGAAAACAGAAGTTTCCACATAGGTTCTAGAAACTATTATTTTCAAAGTTGAGTCAAAAAGTTTCCTTACAAATGCAGGAAACAAAGGGAAAAACAGAAATATAGTATAAAGGAATATAATGTTGCATATTGCCACACATGAAAGCACATGTTTATTTTAAAGCCAAGTCAAATTCTCTGTTTAGATGTGGGCTAAACTGATTTGTTTCTTGATAAAGTCCTGAACTTGGTAATATTTCTAACCTGAACAAAGTAGCTTTTTGTAAATCTCATTTCTACACCAGAGCCAGCTACAGAGATGGTGGTTACAAAGGGACTGCTTATATTCACATTCAATATGCACAAGACCTCAAAAGGTACTGTTCACATGGGATGGAAGTGCTTAGAGTTTAGTAAAACAGGTGAAAAATGGTTTTATAATTTGTAAAGAGAGGACACAGGTTCCAGAAAAATCATTTAAATCACAGTCTCTCTAAATCAGGAATAACAACAGAGAGTTCTCTGAGCTCTAAAAACCAGGCTTGAATCTTCAAGGCTGCTTAAAACAAAAGATTCTGGAATTCTAGAATTCTGAAATATTTAGGGATTAATTTCAGCAAAAAACTGTGAGGGGAGTCAGCCACCAGAATAATTTCTTACCTAGCAGTTCTATGAAAAGTAGCTATGAAACACTACAAGGGTATTTTGCTGTAAGTGGACAGAAAACTGAAGCTAAAGGGCCAGAATAGCCAACCTAGTGGTAAAGGGTTGAGTGCTGTCCCATAAGGGGTCTGACACCAAGAGAAAGAGTTCTGAGAAGTTGAAAGGGGCATTTTAATAAAGTCTGAGGATAAAATCAGGCTTACAGGACACAGTGATTAATAGTTCTTATGGATTAATTAAAAAAACTCATTTCATGTACGTATTGGTTTTCTTTACAGATTGCTCTTTGAGGGACTGTCTGATTCACTCTAATAATTGTGATTAGTAGTTTTAATGAAGACTCCTAGTTCTTGTCAAAGAGGAGACTGAGTTGGGAAAGTAATCACACTTATGAAAAGACTGAAAATTCTAGCCAAAATTCAAAATCCAGGCAACCTAACCCCTGAGGGCAACCTAAGAGCAAACCATTGGCTTTGATGTTTAAAGTAAGAATACACTTCTCTCTAAAGACAATGAATTCCAAAGAAGACATACAACAGGTACATGAAAAATGCTCAGCATCAGAGGAATGCAAATCAAAACCACAATGAGATGTGACCTCACACCTGTTAGAAGGGCTGTCATCAAAAAGGCAAGAAATAACAAGAATTGATGAAGATGTAGAGAAAAGGGAACCCCTGTGTGCTACCGGTAGGAATGCAAATTGGTACAGCTGCTATGAAAAACAGTATGAAGGCCCTAGCTGGTTTTGCTCAGTGGTTAGAGCAATGACCTGCAGACTGAAGGGTCCTGGATTCAATTCCAGCCAAGGGCACATACCTCTGTTGCAGGCTCAGCCCCGGTTGGGGTGCGAGTGAGAGGCGGCCACTTGTTGTGTCTCTCTCACTCGATGTTTCTCTCTCTCTCCCTCTCCCTTCTACTCTCTCTGAAAAAGCAATGGAACAAATATCCTCAGTGAGGATTAAAAAAAAAAAGACAGTATGAAGGTTCCTAAAAAAATTAAAAATATTATTACCATATGATCCAGCAATCCCACTTCTGGGTATATTCAAAGGAAATGAACTCAAGATCTTGAAGTGATACCTGTACCCATGTTTATTAGCATTATTCACAATCCAAGATATGAAAACAACCTAAATGTCCATCAACAGATAAATGGATAAAGAAGATGCTACACACACATACCCCAGATTATTAGTCAGCCATGAAAAATAAATACACTGCCATTTGTGACAACTTGTATGAAACTTAGGGCAATATGCTAAGTGAAATAAGTCAGTCAGAGAAAAACAAATATTATGTGGTATCACTTATATGTGCAATCTAAAAAACCCAAACTCAGAGAAACAGAGTAAAGTGACTACCAGAGATTGGGGGAAATAATATTTGTCAAAGGGTACAAACTTTCAGGTAAAAGTACAACAAGGTCTGGGAATCTAATGTATAGCACGGTGATTATAGCTAATAATAATGTATTATATACTTGAATGTTGCTAAGAGAGTAAATCTTAAATGTTCTCACCACAAAAAAAGAAATGGTAATTATATGATAGGATGGAGGTGTTAGCTAATATGGTGGTAATCATCTTGCAATATAAAACTGTATCAAATCAGCACACTGTATACCTCAATTATATCTCAATAAAGCTGTGAAAAAATAAAAAAATTAAAGATAATGAATTGACAAGTATGAGAAGTTAATAAAGGATAAGAAAGTACAAATAGATACCAAGCAATTTAAAATGACAATGACTTAAAATATTTATCTCAATAAAAAGTTAGACACACACACAGTCCATCTAGCAAAGACTCTGGCTATTTGCCTATTAAACTGGATTAGCTATAAAAAGTACACTAACTGAAACTATAAATCATAAAACTTACTAAAATGGCACAAAGAGTTTCAAAAGTATAAGTTGGTGAAGAACACTAGAAAGTAGTGGTACTAAGTAGAGAGAAGTAGAAAAAATAATTTGAACTCTTTTTGTCTTATACATGGAGGTTCTTTGCCATCTGACCAAAAAAGCATTACAGATATGACCAAGAAGGGGGCGGGTGCGATAGATCTGATACGCTGATTTACAATGAGAATTCCAGGCTTCTCTAGTTGCCTGGAGCATAGTAATATGATTTTCCAGCACATTAGGGAAGCAAAAGTAGAACCAGAAAGTCTATGTACTGGCTGGATTTTGTTAATGTCACTTAAAATGGAGGAAAAAATCCTAGCAAGATACCAAATAGAGTGCAG